TGTTTTGAAGTGTTATTGTTTGTAGGGTCTCAAAACCGGCATGTATTATTTACGCACTCGCCCAGCTGTAGATGCGGTTCAGTTCACAGTGGATAAGACGAAACTGAAGAACGCAAATGAGAAATCGGAAGACGTAGTGCAAAAAATGATGGATTGTGCATTGTCGGATCCAGAAGGATGTACGATGTGTAGTGCATGAGCTGCGCTTGTATCTGATTGTGTCTTAATTTGACGGCAATTGAACGAATACTTCTGTCGACATTTATCTGACCGTCGTTCAAAGCATCAATATCTCATAATCGCCTTTTGTATCATTCAACTTTGAAGTTTTTTTATTCGTTGGCCTTATTCGTTTTATCCGATGAAGCAATTTCATTGTGTTTTGAATGGACTGATTTGAGCAAATGTAACTCTTCATTTGTTTGAAAATTCTTAGCAGATACATTTTTGAGAGAGAAGTTTCGGTTATTTGATGATCATAGAGGAAATGGTTAATGACTGTTTTCAGTTGTTTATTTTTTTGACGTTGCGCTTCGTTTGCATCGATTTTTTTAGATAATTATTTCATGTTCTCTAAATTTAATATTGTATATTCTAATTGCTAAGATCATCGTTATCATTCCATTTGTTTTTAGTGTTATCACAACCAATATTATTCGAACTGGTAATTATTATTTATATTGGTCACCAAACTGCTTTATTGTTTATCGGTTTCATATGTAATGTTCATCAGCATTAGAATGCTGCCCAGTGCACTTCCTTCGTTGGTGTTTTCCACCGAAACGCGTATCGGTAGACTTTGGTTTTACCCAATACAACACCTTTAAATTGCAATTTTTGTTTGAATCGTGTCAATTAGATACTCATCCGCAAATGATGCGATATAACCGTGTGGTATTCATTTTATCATTCCATCGTTTCATTATCAATATCGTCGTATCATTCTATCCCAGTTTTTATCAATATCCATGTTTCCGTTCGTGTGACTGTTCACCGTTTTGATGTTGTATTCCATCATGTTTCGTAATTGTTCAATAATTTTTGATCATTCATCTTGATATTTTGTATTTTCAACTCACTGTCTTTTTTTAAATTTTCAATAAAATTCCTCCGGAACAAAATGAATTCTATTCACAAACATTGTGATATATTTCAAGCACACTTGGTTCCATCACCGTCAACACAAATAATAATACTTCATGGAGCATTTCAGTTCTGAACTGAATTATTGTTGGTACGATATGCGATGAGATGAATAGTAGCAGTGGATAGGATGAATGAATAAATCTGGATTGTTTTAATGAATCTACACATACCTGTAGAATTTGGGATAGTGATTAGCCTGGAGAAGTGGTAAAAGAATGCATCAGATAGGTGCACGTTAAGAAGCAGCCGATTTCGTTCTCTTCATATAGCTGCAGCCGTAAAAAATTTGCGCCTTAAGCCCGCTGGTCAGGAATTCAGTAATTTTAAAAGTATCATTTGAAGTCAAACCCAAGTTTTCCGATGAAGTGTATTGTTAAAGGAATCCTGTCATTAATACATGTATCGCCTGGAACCGCTATTGCTATTATCAAGTCTATTGTTATATCAGTACTGAAAATAGTGAATAAGGGTCTTGAAACGACAATTGCTTTGAGGTAACAACTCAGTTGGTGGTTCTCACAAGTGTTCGTCGTACTTTTCAGTCTTTTTTTGCGAATCATATGTTTCTTACTTAAATTATAAAATCGGGTAGANCAGTGTTCAGGGTGATCTTCGAAAAGTTTTAAGATGCTTTTGATTGGCATCACTGGATTTTCTGAACGAGCAGTTTCGGAATCGTCGTCGAAAAGAATTTTTAATAGATAGATAAATATCATCGTATTGTTTTGAATTTATTCTGTTCGTAACAAGAATTTTCAGTGAACGTCTTGTGAAGAAAGGAATTTTTCTTTGCCAACTGTTTGGTTTCTCTTTCTTTATTATTCGACGATAAATGTTTTGTGTGGCGAATATGGATGAAATTCTGAACGACGTAGTTTCAGAGCAATACTTCTCGAACTTCTTAATTCGAGAGCAATACTTCGTGACTAACCTTTCATCGCTTTCAGTTTCTTCGAACTCAACTACTATCACACAATTTATTGGATGTAGTCTGAATGTCTTCTGAACCGGCCGAAACATCCGCTGTTTATGACAAGAACGGCAGTCACAAGAGTATTATCTGCTGAACTTGCCTCTGAAGAGCTTTATTTCGTTCGCTGTTGACATTTTCAATCCGTCTTAATTTCTTTCAATATTATTAACGAGTTATAGCAAAAGCTATGGGTCTTCCAATGGTGCAGGTCAGATTTATCATCTTATTCGGTCATTCATTACGTTCAGTTTTTTTTTCACAACATAGGTCCATTCATAATGAATTGATTCGCGTTTTGAATGTTAAAATTCGATTGCGAAATATTCTGGTCGAATGAGGATTTGTTATAAGAGAGCATTTTATAAATTGGAAATTTGATATTGTAATGGATGATAGGCTAATATTGAAAAATGACTGATAGTGAATATTCAAATAGGTGTTTATGATTGCGGCTCGGCAAATTTCAAGGCCAATAGCTGACCGGGTGATCAGATATGGGAAGACACATGGGGTGTTCCGTAATCGATTGTTGATTCCGCTCGGAAGAGGTGCGATTTTGATAAGTTTTGATCGATTGATCATTCGTTTCATTCGAATATTTTGAGTGAATCTGAAAGATTCTGAGGTAACGAAATTATTGCGTTGCGTTTTCGTGCAGTAGTTACTTGGACAAATTCAGGTTTGGCGCATTTAACGACTCGTTTACGAATGAAACATTTGGGGTTGGGAAGGCCGGCCACTTTAGCACCGGTCTCCGAGGAAGCAGCCTTAGAACAGGTAGCTTTTTCAGATTTCCATGGACACCTTGATTTTTTTTGACTTCGTCGTTTTGAAACTTGTTCCTAAAATTTTCTCACTCACGATCAGTTCGGTTTTCATCTTGTGCCGGGTTGTGATCAATCGAAGTTGATCGAATATCAACGAGTTATGCGCAAAAACTGTTTGTAGGCATCAGATTTCGTGCAGCAAGTGGTGTTGTTCTCGTACAGTGTTGCCGTGTTTGCAAGTTATTATTTCTACACGAAGCAAACGGCACCGGAAACTGTCAAAGCGGAATTATTTTATGAATTTAAAAAGGTTCAATCATTGTCTTTTTCGTCTTTTTGTCTCTTCGTTTTGATTCTAAATTCATTTACTGATGATGAATGTATTTCTCTTCATTCGGAAGCATTGAGTTGTTGGATAGGTGAGCATTTGGTGTTTGGATGTGAAGAAGTAACGAAATATTTCACTGTTTCAAAGAGCAGTTGATAAGAGATTGTTGATTGAGGATAGCGAAGAAAAGTTGAACGATCTGAATGATCGACTGGAAAGGATTGAAAAACTTCTATTGAAAAACGTGTCGTCATCTTCTTCGGCAACAAACGATGGCAAGGTATGGCCAGTCACTTTTTCATGTTACTTTATTACATATTACTTTATTACATCAAGTGAGCATTTAGTCATCTTAAAATTCGAGTTTTTCCTAGAAGAAAGATTCTGTAAGCTGTGATTCTTCTTGAAATTTGTTCTCATAGAGACAGTTTTGTGGCTTAACTAAAGAATTGACGGGAACTTTATTCGTATAGGTTATGGGTTTATTGAATGAAACAGTGAAGTCGTAATATTACAATATGAAGTAGAATCTTAAAATTTTCCTGGGTGAGATTTCCGTTAGATTTGCCTGTTAATTGATGTTTATTTTGGCATTATTAGCGAAATGGATCGGTGTTATTTTCTCGGGAATGTTTCTGTTGTTCTGTGAAAAATTCTGCTGATATTTAATTCGTTTACAGAAGGACGACGAGAAATGTGCTGAAAGCGAAGGTCAACAAGTCGCCACATCGTCCTCAGAACGTCCACGATTCAAGCGAATCTCATCGCTGCCAGTAGATGAGACCGTAAAAGTGGTCGTATCAGGTAATGAACAGTATGTGATTGCTAGACGAGGGACTTCTGTCTCGATTGAACCACTCGAAATAGTGCAACAGCGACGCACACCTTTCAAGTTTAGACATCAGCCTGCATCCGCTAGTAAACAACAACATACATTCTTCGATCGTGCGGATAATGATCACGATACCGAAAGTGACAATAAATCTGAGGGTGATGTGTCAAATCCGCAATATCAATCCTCAGATAGAGCACCATCGCCAAACTGTGAGCAGAAAATGGGGTTGTAACAATTGAGAACGGGTCAATAAAGATGAACTTTCAATTGCTTACGTTGTCCCTTTTTCATTCATCTCAACACTGGGTGATAGAATGTCACTCGAGTGCACTAATATTTTCGTGCTGTCGAATCTAACCCCAAGAAAATGAAATTAAGTGCCTATAGTGTATCGCTTACATATACGTTTTTTGTCACTTTGTTTCCTGAAATATTGTTTGTTATCCCGCCATTATGAGCTGTAAACGTTTAGGC